CCACTATTATGCTTAAAGGGAAAAAAAAAAAGTCACTGACAGTGCCTAAACTGAGTCAAAAACTGCTTCCAAAGAAGAACTACTGAAAGGCATGGAGTGCAAGCTTTCTTTACCACAGCTTTAAAGGAACAAGTAATTCTTAACACAAACACTGGTAAGAAAATTAGGGCAGGCTAGTGTAATGCATACGTTTTATACACCTAGTTCCTCAACAAAACTACCTATCCTGTGGTCAGCCTCCATTCCCTTGTTAGCAGAAAAGCTAAAATGCAGTGTTTTCTGTGACTATGGAGTTAAAGGCAACCTTCCTCCCTGTAGTTTCACTTCTGTAACACATGCTTCCGTTTACAAAATTCCTTCCTACTCTCATTAACATGCAATGTCATAAGGAAATAATATGCTGTTAAAGCCACAGTTATGTCACTAACCAGGTTTACATAAATCAGAAGAGTCTGGACATCTTTTCCCATGGCAGAAAATAGTATCTGTGAAACATGTTTCATGCCCATTATAAGAATGACAGCTTGAATACTATACCCCAGTCATAAAAACTGTTGCAAAGGCAACCAGCCTAGCTAGCTACTTAAGCTCTTCAATCAATCCCTCTCTTCATCAAGTTAAAGGATACATTCCTATAATTTTAGAAGACATTGATGTTTTAGCAGCATTAATTAGGCAGTCCCTGCCCAATTCATCTGTGTTAATAATAAGATTTTCATTGATGTAGCGAACTGCTTCCCTGTAGAATAAATATAAATACCAGTAAGGAACTCCACCCCCACAAAAAGACAAAAATCTTCCATGTTTTCAGCCCTTCTAAATGTTACTTCAAAGAACACAGGGATAAAAGCAATTCATCTTCTAGGACAGGAAAATGGCATTTTTATGTGATGACAGATATGTGAAATTTAAACAAAAGAACCTACACCCCCACCAACCAACACCCCAGCACCCCCTCAACAAAATACCATATCCACTTTGCACCAAGTCTTTATTAAGAGAGTCACAAATACAGATACAGAAACAGCATGCAGTTATTGTACCTTAAAGAACACAATGTACTTCAACTGTTTCTTACTTGCAAGCAAGTCGGTATCCACCAATAATGGAGGTAGGATGGATTTTCTGTTTGACCAGCTCATCTGCGTTTTTCAGAAGTTCTGCAGCAATAATTACCTGTTTGGAATACAAACACTAAATACACATATTCCATACACGCACAATAACTTCCTGTTGGCATTAAGTGCATTGTAGAATCACAAATAGTTATCCAATGTCTACTCAGTGGAAGCAAGTACTTAGAATTGGAACTAGTTTCTGACACCAGGCAAAAGCCACATCATTTTGCCTGTCCCAAAGATGCCAAAATCTCAAGCGAGTTTTCAACACACGACATCTTTGTTAGTCCTTAGCACTTAAATTTCACATGGTTTTCAAAAATTAAAAACGTTATTTCAGAACCTATCCCCAACCTTTACAAAGGAAAAAATAAATAATGAAACTACACTATGCAGTCCCTTCCAGAACATCAGCTGCATATGAAAACTAGCACCTCTAAAAAAACCCACAGATTGAAGCTCTTTGCTCAGTAATCTACGTAAAAAAACTGCTTAGTCAACCTCAAGGTTTTTCATTCTATATAGTTGATCAACATTGCACCAAGACTCATAATGGAGAAATCAAAAGCAGCACTCTGGTAACAGAACACTGACTTTTGGTCTATCTGCCTGTAAAGCTTTCTACGTACCACTGAGGTTGTCCCATCGCCAACTTCTTTGTCTTGCAGGTCTGCCAGCTCACAAAGAACTTTTGCAGCAGGATGTTCCACTTCCAGCAGTTTCAGGATGGTTGCACCATCATTAGTAATGGTCACATCCTAATTTTCAGAAATGAAATATGCACATGAAGTGTATTTCTATTACATTTTGACTATTGTGTTTCATAACATTCATACAAATGAATGAGGTTTTTTTCTTTGCAAACTTCCTTATATTAAAACCATTTATACCAAATGTCTACTGCTGTTTTTTTAACCAGGAGTCTCACTGTAGCAACAGAAATGTCACCGCTGTTATCACACAAGTCTTTATGTTACAAAATCTCATAAAACATTTTGGACACACCAGATTAGCAGCAGTGCTGCTCACCTCCAATATAATATTTCATTATAGCTGCCTGTAAAATGGCAAACGTGCCTCATTTGCTTGGAAGATTTTAAAATATGAAATACTGCTTTAAAATTGTTCTGATACTATTTGAATTTTTTATTATTTCTCCTACTGTGGAAACCAAGATATGCAAGTCAACGCCACCACAAGGCCTGACTTTAACTGTGATATTTATTCCCTGTTAAGTTGCCCAATACTTTTTAAGTGGTGACAAGAATTTACACATTGAAAGTAAACAACTGTACCACATGAACTGCAGTAGCAGATTAAACCGAAATGATGTAGCATACATTACCAAATGCTCAGTTTTACCACAGCTCTTCTCCTATACCGTGTCAGAACTACTGAAAAAGCCAGGCATGCACATATCCAACCTAGGAAGTACACTAAGTGGAAGCACTTCTACACAGGAATGCAAGTCCTCCTGACACTTCTTAAGGAAAGCTGACTTACCCCAATATCATCCACCAACATCTTATCCAGGCCAACTGGACCAAGAGAACTCTTCACAATATTGGCAATAGCAGATGCCGCAGTAACTGAACAAGAAAAGAAGTTTTATCTTTCCAACTTTAGGGCAATTCAGGTTTACAAGAAAATGTCTCAAGAACCTGCTATTTAGAAACCTGACAGCGGCCTAATTTAGGATTAGGTTTCAGCCAACCTAAACTAATAGCTGGTTGCCACTAAACAATACAATCTGTGCCAAAGCTCACTCTGCCCCCCAGGCTGGCTCAGCTAACTAATCTGGCACAACTGATTGAGCAGAAGATTCACTTCCTGCCGTCTTGGTAAGATGGAAGACACTACTACCCAGGATCAGAAGAGCAGTGGTGGTAGCTTAAAAAAGGTTGGTAGGACTATTTATTTTGTCAGCAGCAAGTCATGCCATGAAACTTCACTCTCATTTACTCCTCCGTTCCAGACAGACACAGAACAACAGTATCACCATGTATCAATTACTAACACATCTTTCTGTCCCAATCAGGTCTGTGACTGAAACAAAACTTACAAAACCTCTAACACAGTGGCTTGTTTAAAAGGATGTTCTGCCAACTTCATATAGGAAAAAGATACAATCAACCTTTTCCTTCAGACCGTGGCAACCTTTTCTTTATCCCACAAGCATAGCCACTTAATCTGGAAGTTGAAAAAGTGGTAGTATAATGGGAATAGCTATAACTCAGATCTGCCCCTTGAACTTCAAACAGCATAAAGAGTTTTTATGTTGTTTTGGAGGAGTAATAGCTTTCTGAAACAACCATTATATCAAAGATGCCATTTCAAGGTAGAATCTTAGCCATAGATTAAGGTTGGTTTTATACTAAGTGTTCTGCCTAAAGTGTTGCCAGAACTGCCATGACTCTCACAACAGTCAGGAAGCAGGTCTTCAGCTTCTTCCTTTGCCTTTTATCCACTAACTGAGAACAGTCTCGAAACTCGCAGCCTTCCCTCAAGGCCTGGGATAAAAAGCCTGAGAGATATGGAACGTTTTTGAAAACTACATAAGAAAACGCAGATCTTGAGGATGCTCCCCATTTTCAAAAGCAGGCTATATCCCCGTGTTGGGGAGCAGAAAGGCTCCCCAGCGGCCCTTTCCCCATTAAGATTCCTTCGCCAATCTGCAGGCCTCGCCGGCTCACGCCCTATAGGGTCTGGATAGAACCGCGCAGACCTCTGGCCAGCAACGCCCCCCCCCCCCCCCAGTGGGTGCTTCTACCAAGGAAAAGGTCCGCGGGGTCAATTCGCCGCTGAAGCGCGGCGGGAGCCCCTAGTCTCTTCGTGGAGGATCCGGAGCAGCTCTCCCTATGGCCTCCAGTGGCCGGCACTGAGACGCTGGCGGGAGGGGGAGGCCTCTACCGGACAAGTGCAGAGTTGAGGAAGCACATGGCGGCGGTAACTGCTGCGCCATGTTACCTTCTTCCTGCCCCTCCCCGCACCACTCTGCCAGCCCCCGCCGGCAGAGGCGCGGCCGTTACCGTTCTGCGTGCGGATGGTATCGCCGCTGGTCCTGTCGCCGAAAACAGCGAGGGGTCCCTCCAAAGCCGCCATCTTCCCGCCCGGCCGCCGCGCCACACGGAGAGCAGGGGCCGCTAGGCTATCCACGGACTGGACAGAGCACCGCAAAGGCTGATGGATACACTCCCTTCCCGGCACAGCGCAGACGGGCAGTGCACGGCTCTGCACGCACGGGAGGGAAGGGGAGGGGCCAAACCCTGCCTGCCCAATCGCGGGGCGCGGCAGGGCCCGAGCTCCAACCGCGATTGGTGAGCGGCGTGAACGGAGGCGCCGCGCCGAAGAAGGGGCACGAGCGCTTCCAGGAGCTTCTAGAAGGCAGGGCGAGCTTAGTGCGCACGGGCTGTAGCTCCCGCTCCGCTCTGGGGCGCGGCAGCCGTAGGGTTTCGCTGCAGGTTAAACGGGGGCTGTCCCCTACACATTCTTATGCATTGTAAGAACTCAGGCTAATCCTGCAGCGGGATGGGGGGCATCGCCCGCCTCCAGGCGCCGCTTGCGCCCGATCCGGTATACGTTAGATTTGTAGGCTGCAACACCAAAGTCGTAGCGTTGCTTTTGGCAACTGCAAGCGGCGTTTGCGGCGGCTCTGGTCGCTTTCCCGTGGACGCTTCTTTGGGCCCCTTTTAAGGAGCTGTGGCACCGGGCCGTGCTGGTCTGTATCTGCACCCTTTTTACTGCGGAGGGGGTAATTAAACACGATCTCTTGAGTCAAGGAAATGTTTCGTGCTCTGTTCTGTAAACACGCGACTGACAGCACCAGGCAGCTCCCCATACTTCTGCGCCATACTGCACGGTGCCCGGCGCTTTCGCGTGACATCATCAACCACCGACGGAAGTGCTTAAAGCTGGCTTCTGGGGAAGCGGTCTGGCTCGGCAAAATGGCGGCGCCCAGGTGCCCCTGAGCAGAGGGGAGGTGATTGCCGCCTGAAGCCGTGGTGGTTGCAGGCTCCCCATGGCACTGAGCAGCCGTAGCCGCCTGGTGCTGGCCGCCACCAGGCCCTGGGTACATGGAGCGGGTAAGCTCGGTCCCCCTGCGGTTCTTTATGCCGGCCTTTCCCGACTCCTCCCTGTGCTGCCGGCGGCTGTCCGCTCTGGGCGATCTCGCTGCCGGTGGCTTGGTAGCATTGCTCCGCCTGTGCCGTGCTCCCGCTTGTAACGGTGGTTCCGGCTTCTGTGGGACGGGGGCGCTGCTGCTGCGTCTCCGGCCCGAGCAGGCGAGCAGTCTGATAAGGAGAGGCCGTCTTCGCTATTGGTGAGAGGTTCCCGCTGACTCTGGGCCAAAAAGTTGAGTGGCAGAGTGAGCTTGGAAGCCTAACTCTAAATTGGTATTTGTTAGGTTAATTAGTGATGATCAGCCCGACAGGATCGATGATTTTTACCTTGTTATTTGGTAGTGCTGCCATCGGTTGTGCACTTCACTTTCAGTATTTTGTAAAGCCTTAATTCTAGGAATCTTCTAGTCAAGCTGAATTTATATTTTATGTGCAAGCTGTAAACCAGTGTTAAAGCTTTTTTAGTCTTAGCTTACAGTTCATTGCATAAATTGGAGAAACTGAGCTCTGGTAATCTATCTGTTTGTTGTTTGGGGTTTTCTTAAAGCAGATCTTGCCCTGCTAACTTTTACAAGCTGCATTATTCTGTATTGTATGTGTTCTATTGTCTGCATTACTTAAAATTTTTTTTTAAGTCTCTGGAATTTTATTTTCTGCTTTCCCCCACAAGGTCTTCGTTTTGCATCAACTACAGCAAATCTCAAGCCTAAGACCCAAGTGGACACAAGTGAAAATGAGATTGTTGCCCCAGACTTCACTAACAGGAATCCTCGGAACTTGGAGCAGTTGGCCTTAGCTAGGAAAGAGCGTGGCTGGAAGACAACATGGCCAAAGCGTGAATTCTGGCATAGGTGAGTCAGAAAGCCACCAGCAGAAATGAAGACTTGAAAAATAAACACAAAATCTCCCACCCAAAACAGCAGCAAAGAAAACCACCTAAAACCAAGTCCCAGAAACCCGCCAGGTAGAAATTTTATGAAATGTGCATTTTGGGTTGCTGAATCGGTTTCCTGTTTGGTTATTCTTAATTAACGGGTATCTGCTGTGTCCAGAGAACAGTAGGCTGGCATCACGTGAAAGTTGGCGTGTGTGTTCAAGATCTTCCCATCTGTTGTTGAGATAGCAGTAATTTTGCTTAAGCCAGTGCTGTTTATCTTGGGATTCTCCTAGTTCTGTGGTGACCATGCATCATTGTTTTATTTGAGGCACCGTGATAGACTGTTTAGGTGCTTTTGTTTTCTTTTAGTAGAAAATGCTGATTGCTTGTCCCCTGGAAAATAAGTTCATCTTAAGCTGGGGATTCAAAAATCATTATTTTGTTCTTGAGGGGAGAATCGCATCCAGTTCGTTCATACCTGAAAATCTGATATTTTCTCAGTGCAGTAAGAAATAGTTGCTCCTAATACCCTGTGGTTGTGTGTTGTGGTTTATGAAGTACTGCTTGACCACGTGTCAGTACTGACAAGTTGCTTCCTGCTGTGTAAGCGCCACCCTTTAGAAGACTGCATAGCACACCTGATGTTACATTCCTGCTAAAGCAGTTCTCCAGTCCAGCTCAGACATACCTATACAACACTGTGTAGATGTACAGTGCTTGGTTTGGAGGGACTGCTGGTGTGGGGCAGTGTAGAACCATGCACCTGAGTAACTGGGGAGAAGTTGTTCTTGGAATTTCACTCTCTGAGCTGGTAATACAAGTCCTATTTTATTTCCTAATAAAAACCCTAGATAACAAAAGAAGTGTTATCAATTCGTTATTAATAGTCATAGTATATTCATTTTTATTTCATGAAGTGAGTCACTTATGCATTTAAGCATTTGAATGGTGTCTCTCATGACATCTGGAAAAGACATGGTAATCCCATGTTCTTTCTCTCACTCAGGTTACGGCTTGAGCGTACACAGCACTATGTAGAAGCCTTTATTGAGCGCTCTAACGGGGATGTTGTGTTGTCTGCCTCTACCCGGGAGTGGGCCATAAAGAAACACCTATACAGTCCCAAGGGAGTAGCAGCATGCAAAAATCTTGGCCGCGTAATGGCACAGCGCTGTTTGGAAGCAGGAATCAACTTTGTGAACTTTAAAGCTGTTATCCCCTGGGAATATCATTGTGACTCGGCAAGTACCATCTCCTTACACTTATTTGGCTCTTTTTTCTTTTTAAGCATTAATTTTACACCTCTTCACCATTAGTTTTTATTCTGTGGTTTGACAGTGCCTTCTTGTGACACTCAGAAAGGTAGCTTTGATAAACTGCAGTTGTGTTGTTAATGCTTCAGTGAAGCTGTTACCTCTGCTCCTGCATGCTACATGTCTCCACTGATACTTTGGTGCCAATGGCTTTTCTTCCTATTTATTTATCTCCCTCTTTTAAACAAGATTCAGGAATTCGAAAAAGCTATGCAGGAGGGTGGTGTCGTTCTGCGTGAGCCACGAAGAATCTATAAGTAAAATGGAGAGTGCTGGGAAAGCTTTACAAGGGACGACGATCACTTCTTTAGGTGTGTGCGCTTCGGCTTGGTGAAGGTTCAGAGCTGGAAAAAGCTTAACATCTCATAATAAAATATTTTTGAACAGACAGAAATGTGTCATTCTTGATTCTAAAATTATCAACACCTTTAAGGTTAGAATAAACTGTTACCGTAGTTTAGCCTGATAGATTAACAGAATTTACTTCATAGTTCAGTGACTTTAAAGTACATTTTCTGTTTAATAATTGTTTAATACTTGAACTGAACTCTGCAAATGCTTAGATATTTGATTCCTGTGCACTGCTGGTCTAATTTAGCAAAATGCACTCATTATGTGTCTGTTTAGACCTGTAATACAGTTATGCGCTAAACTTGGTGAAAAGATTAAATTCTCCTAACCTACTTTTGCAGCTTTCTTGCTGCCCTTGGATTCTAACAACTTAAACCTCATCTGTCCAGGAGGGAGGCTGCAGAAATGCCAGCTGTGGGGAGTAAGAAGCCCCTTTCCCTCCCTCTGTGCCCCTGGCTTGGCTGCAGACCAATGCCACCATCCTGTCTCCCTGAGGGATGGGCAGAGCTCCTGGTTGCATCCAGGCTGAATAATCCCCACAGCATGTGTGAGCCCATCGGAGGAGCAGCACTGGGGTTCAGAAGCCAGGCTGGTGCAGCTCAACCTGTGGCCCAGTGTTTGTAGACTCCATTACTTTCCTGGGCAGCTTGTTCCAATGCCTGACTACTCTTTTAGTAAAGAAATTGTTCCTGATACATGATCTAAGCCTCCCCTGTCTTATCACTTGTTACTTGAGTGAAGAGACTGACCCCCACCTCAGTACAACCTCCTGTTAGGTAGGTGTAGAGAGTGATAAGGTCCCACCTGAACCTTCTCCAGACTAAACAGCCCCTGTTCCCTCACCTGTTCCTCATAACACTTGCTCTCCAGACCCTTCACCAGCTTCATTGTCCTTCTCTAGACCTGCTCCAGCAAGTCGCCTTAGTTGGTGCTGTTTCATAATATCTAATAGTGCACAGACAGCGATAGCCTTTGTGCGATCTGGAGTTCTGGAGGATGAGGATGCCAACAGGAGCCATGTCTGCTTTCCCTATGAGCCAGGCCCTGCGGAGCGGCTCCTCAGCCAAATCTCCCCACCTGTTCGCTGTAGCCGCGCCCCGCCAGCTGCCTGCGCACTGCCCGGCCCCTCGTCGCCACTCCGGTCCCGAGGGGCGCTGTCTTCCCCATTGTTTTAAGGCCACCCTTAGGGCGGGGGAGAGCGGAGGATATCATGGACGTGGGGGCGGCCGACTTCGGGCGGAGTCTGCCGCGCCTCAGGGGCCGCGTTCGCCGAGCGGCCTTCCTGGGTGAGCCGGGGTGTGAGGGGACCTGCCGGCTCGTACCGGTACCCTCAAGCCCCTCTGAGCGGCCCTGGCCCGGCCCGGGGCGCGGGTACTGAGGTGTATTTCAGCAGACAATGGCGCTGCTGTGCACTGTTTGTTTTAAAGCGGTGCAGCAGAGGTTGGAAAGTGAGCCCTCTCTGTGGTGCTGGGTGGGGGGCTTGGGGTGTTAGTTACCGGAGCCATAATCCAGAGGGTGAGGAGGTGGTGTGAGTGACCCCATTCTGTCACTGGGATGAGGGAGCAAGAGATTTCTTCACACAGAGGTTACGGTGAAGAGAGGTGTTTTGGAGGTCCTTGTTCTGATTCTGGTGAAACGCATGCTTCATTTTGATGTATAGTGGTTTGTTTTTTTTTTTATGTGCGTGTGTTCTTTCTACCTCAACAGCCTTTGATATGGAGTTTACTGGCTTACATTCAGCTTCTCTGCAAAATGACAAGCTCAGGTAAAGCTGCTAGACTTCAAATGGGGGGAATGCTTGCTGCTCTAGCTCTGTGTGAGCTACCTATGTGTTGCAAACCTTGTTTCCACACCTTTTCCCCCAGTTCTGGTTGTGTTCCTAGCCTGTTTGATTCCCCTGTGGAGCGGTACCTGAAGGCCAAGCAGAGTGTGCAGCACTTCACCGTTACTCAGCTTGGTAAGTGCTGCTCTGAGTTCTCAGTGGTAAATGGCCTTTTGCCAGCTGTCAGGCCCTGCAGGTAGCTCTGGTCTTAATTCACTCCTTACAGAGGCATTTGTTTGCTGCATTCCCCCCTTCTGGTGTTTAATATTATCACCTTTTTAGTATTGTAAATAATGTAAAGCCATGTGGGCCATATATTTTTTACTTGTCTAAAATTAATATTTAAAGATTGCAGGCACCAATACAGGGCTTTTAAAACAGAGGATGCAAGCAAGAAGTAGATGACAGCAGCTCCTGTTCAAAGTTGTGTCATTTGGTATAGTGTATGAGTAAGGAGACTGTCAGAGGAAAATGAAGGCTAGTATTTCTATATTCCTAATATAATTTAAAAAAACCCAAACCCACAAGAATGGTCCTGTAGAGGTGGTAGAGGGTTACTGACAGTTAAGAATCAGTTAGAGGTCAAGAAATCAGCTCCAAAACTGTTTAAAATATTGTTCAAAGCTTTAGGATATGTAAGATTTTCATAGAATCACTGAATGGTTTGTGTTGGAAGGCACCTTAAAGCTTGCACAGTTCCAAACCCCTTGCCATGGGCAGGGACACCTTACAGTAGACTAGGTTGCTCTGAGCCCCATCCAACCTGGCCTTGAACATTACCAGGAATGGGGCAGCTTCTCGAGGCAACCTGTGCCAGCGTCTCACCACCTTCACAGTAAAGAATTTCTTCTTAATATCTAATCTAAATCTACACCCTTTCAGTTTAAAGGTGTTACCCTTTGTCCTACCACTAGTGTGTTTCTTGGGGAATAATAGGGAAATAACCCCAAAAAAGCAAACTAACAAACCCAACCCTCAAAGCCTAAGTAGTGAAAACCATGTTTCTGTCCTTTGTGGTGCCTAGCTCCTTCCAAATGCTTCTGTAGTGTAGTTGGATCCACAGACCTGTGTATGCATAGTTTGAGACTTTCATCATCAAATCACCTCATCCATTGCTCAATCTATTTGCTATTTAGTCGGACTTGACTTCTTTTCCCACTTAGTACTAAAAGCTTGTTCCTGTTCAGCTCTCAGGGAGCTGGGGAGTGGCCTGGCAGTTAATGCTGTTCATGATTTGTACTGTGCCATTAGTGAATGGAAAACATGCACTCCATCAGGGGATCCCCACATCCCTTACCTAATCTCCAAGACATCCAGCTAAACATTGTCATTTCAACAGAGGTTTCTCTCTTGCAGGGCTGGCAATATTCTCAAATGAAAGTTCAAACAAGTAAGTTAAAAAGCAGTTTTCTGTTACAATGAAGACAGTGCAGTTGAGATTTTATTCTCTCTCTTGGGAGGAGTTATTTCCAGTAACAATTTTCTAGAGAGATTTTTCTTTTCATTGTAGGTATGTGGTGCATTCATACAACTTCTTTCTCTTTCCCTCAACATGGGGGGTTATGGATGTTGAATTTACCCTCTCTGCATCTAGCATTCAGTTCCTGTCTCATTATGGCTTTGACTATAATAAGGTATGTAATCTCTCTGCCAGAAATCTAGAACAGAGGACGTCTGTGCGATTACAGGAGAAATTAAGATTAATATCCCTAAATGCTGCATTTCTGGAGTAAATGGGATCTTGCTAAAGTATGAATGCATGGGTAGGTTCATTATCAACAGGGAGAGTATGTGCTGATTTTCCTGAACTGCCATATAGGCAATAACCTCATCTTTGTCAGGCTAAGACATCTCCCCACCTCAAAAAAAGAAAACTTGTCTCTGGTGATCTGGAGACTTACTAAACTTACTTCAGGGGGAGTCTTTACTAGCACTGAAGATAGGGAAGTCGTGGTTTATCTGCTTTTTAGGTATTGCCACATTTTCCATAAAATTTAGACCGTGTCATCACGTAAGAGCAATGTTTAGCAGTTTTGGACAGGAAGTATTGTGGTATTTCAACACTTGAAGCATCTCGTTAAAGGAAAGGTAAAAGCAGAGCAGAAAAGAATGATTACAGTTAACAAAAATCCTTCCCTCCATAAATAAATATGTGTTCCTTTATGTAAGAATGCAGCTGATTACCTACAGTTTGTATTTTTGGAGAGGATAGTCTGAGAATGAGGAACATCTGCATCACCCAAGTGTATGCCAGTTTTGGACCTGGCTCACCTGCTATTCTCTAATTTACTGCAAGAAAGTAAAGGGGAGAGTAACCAACCTGGAATTTTTTCCACCCTTCAGTTCCTCAAAGATGGAATCCCGTATATGAATGAGGCACAAGAGAAGATCCTTCACCAGCATCTCTTAGAGGGTAGCAGGAAAGTGAGCAGGTGAGTGCCACTCAGAGAGGTGGCTCCTCAGTACTGTGTTGGCAGTTCACCTTCACTCAAATCACCTTTTGTAGAAATATTAAAGGCTATTGGTCCAAATGCCTTGCTGTAGCTGTTTCAGCATGTTGTGGTCCCTCTGAAGGAAAATTGAGATCACAGGATACAGTCTGGAGAATTCGGATGACTGTTGTTAAATGATGATTTTGCATTCCCACAGCAAGGTACAAGGCTCTGTCTGTAAAGAGTTTTTTCTCAAACTATGCCTCTTTCCTCCTGGTCCTGCTCTAGTGCCCTGGACAGGGATGTGCTGAAGAAAGCTATTGATGAAGTGACCTGTTGGATAGCTAAAGCAGAGGAAGAAGAGACTATGATTCTGCAAGATCTGAGTGGTATGAAACAGGGTGCCTCCCTTAGGCACCTGTGGGCTCTGAGTGGCTTCATCACTTCTTCTGAACCCCTGGCGCTGCTACTGTCCTTTGTTGCCTGTTCTGTTAAACTGCTCTGTTGAGAGGGAAGGCACCAGTGCTCATCCTGCCTTTACATCTCTTGTGCCCCTGTCTACACCTCAGTTCCTGCCAGGCATTCTGGGCTCTGCTTTTCTGCTCCGTTGGGACAGTGGTTCTTTCTGTAGTGGCAGTGGATGTCTAGGTGCTTGGAGCATGCTTTGTGGTAACTTCCATGTTGTGCTTCTGCAGAGCAGCAACTGGAGGATTTGTAATTGCTCTGAATCAGGACAACTTTGTTTTAAATCCTGGGTGATCTGGTTTTTGTTTGCTGCCTTAGCTTTGGAGAAGGGAAAGGCAGGTCTCCCTTCAAGGTTAGTTTCCTCATAGGTAGAGCAACAGGAGCTTCATGGTGAAATATGTATGCCAGTGGGAATAAACAGGCTACTTGCCACCTGTGCTAGCTTTCTGGAGCATGATAGTGGAGCTGAGGTATTTCTGAAATTCTCACTGGGCATTTTTTGTTTTCCTTTGGTTTCAGGCTATCAGATGCTTGAAGTTCAGCTGGTTCTGAGACAGGCTCTCCAAAATGTTTGGACACAGCCTCTTGGAATCAAGAAGGTAAGATGGAAATGTGTGT